TGGCTGCGGCCGGCGGCGGGGCGATTGCGGGCCGAGCCTACGCGTTCAAGGTGGTGCTGCTCGGGGAAGGCTGCGTGGGGAAGACGTCGCTGGTGCTGCGCTACTGCGAGAACAAGTTCAACGACAAGCACATCACTACCCTGCAGGTGAAGACCCGGGGCGTCTGGCTGGGGCCGCCCGGTCCCCTGCTTTGGGGCCGGCGAATCGCAGGCCTGTCACCCTCGCCTTCCCATCGCCTTGGCGACGCGCGGGGCCGGGAGTCCGGCTGTGGGAGGGGAAGGGCCCCGAAAAGTCCCCAGTTCCCGGAGGAGGCTGTGCAGGTCGGGGAATCCCCGCCTGTGGCTGCTTTCCCCCTCGGTGCGCTTCCGCTGGGGCCCCAGGTGTTTTCACTCTGTAGTCTGAGTGTCGGCCCTTTTTCCTTCTTCAGAACTAGGAACTTAGCTGCCGATTGGAATTTGCGAATTATGATCTGTAACTTCAGCGCGTCCTGATGACTAAGTGTTTATGCAAGTTCCATTTTGTCCTGTCTTCAAGTCACTGGAATGGTAAAACCACCCTCCAGAGACGGGTTTTTGAAAGGACCGCTTGCTGGTACGGGTTACGCAGTTTCATTGCAGGCTACTTGGGTCTGACTTGTGGGTCGAGTTTTTAGTGAGGTTGGTCAACCCACGTTAAAACGTCATGTGCTTATTGCCCAGCTATTGGTCCTCAAACTAAAAGCCTAGATATTGCTATTCATTGACTTAACTGTCATCAAAGACTGGCTTTCTTCTGCAGTTACATTGGGAAAATGTTACAGTGAAATAATTGGTTGAGTGTAACCAGGCCTTTGAGGGGGTTATGGTCTCCCTGTTCTTCTAAAAACATCAGTTTACATGTGTTAGGAGAATTATCTTTGAGCTTGTTTGCCTCAATTCATAGCCTACTTCCATCCGTGTAAATAGCCAGGTGATCTTGGTTAAATTACTTAACCTGCGTGCCCATGAGCTTCAACTGTTAAGATGGCCCTGATAATTGTTTCTAGCACTTTGGATTGTCAGGGTAAATATGGAAAAGCACCTAGGACCTGAAATGGTGTAAACATTGCTGCTCCAACTTGACAGTAGATCTTTATTACTAATTGTGTTGTGTGCAAGAATGTGGATGCTCTTTAGAATGCATAATCTAATGGGTGTGACATTTGATGTTTTGTGCTATTATTAAACTGAGTGTAGTGTTTACAAAGATGCTGTGGTTCTGATTCCATGTTTTATTTTTACTCCTGTTTTCAACTCTATATAAAGCATAGTATCTGAAGAACTATCAGGTGTTAGAGCCCCAGGTTAATGGTAGATACAGTGGTATCCAAGCTTAGTGTTGATCTCAGGTCTGATTTTAGATTTTGAGCAGTAAAATTGCACTACCTCTGGAGATTGACAGTCAATTCATTTTGTATTTTCCTTTATGTTACAATATAAAACTATTATATTGGCGATCTTAATTTTTTAAAGGTTTCTAAATTTTTTATGTATCTGAGTGTTTTGCTTGCATAGATGTATGTGCATGTAGTGCCCATGAAGCCCAGAAAAGGGTGTTGGATCTCTTGGAACTGGAGTTACAGATGGTTGTGAGCCACCATGTGGGTGCTGGGAACTGAACCCAGGTTCTCTGCAAGAGCAGTCAGTACTCTTAGCCACTGAGCCTCTTAATGTTTTTTGTTTGTTGTGTGTGTATGTGTGTGTTTGAGATAGGGTCTCAACTATGTAGCCCTGGCTGGCCTGGAACCTCTGCTCTGTCTCTTAAAGGCATGAGCCACCATGCTGGTTTAATTTTTTTTTTAAGATGATTTATCCTTTCAATGTAAAAATTGCACTTTGATTATGTATTTCTAAGACATTCTCAAAGCTAAAAATAGTGAAAGATTTTTAAATATGTGAGAGAAGCCACAGTGGATCACACAGAAAAGGCCAAAGTTTTGTTAGATGTCCAGTACCAGTACTGTTGCAACTTAGTTTTTATATTTATAGAACTCATTGTAAACAGTATCTGGATTCCATTACAGAATTGAGGGTTTCAGTTGTATACCAGCATGGAAACAACGCTCAGCCCTTTTTCTTGGTTAATTCACTTCATCTTCCTCAACATTTTATTTTTCAGAAAAGTTTTATTTGTGTGATTTACTAATGAAACTGTCTTCTTTTAGTTTCCAAAAGGAGGAGACTGCACCAGAAGTTAGAGCAGTAGTTCATAGTCTGCGTATCTTTGTAAGGTATTTTGTGTTTTGCAAAGTACACATGAAACATTCTTATTTCAAAAAATTGTAAGTCTGATGGGAACCACAGTTTGTGGTTCAGTCTTTTCCACTTTTTTGGACATCTTGAGGGGATAGACTAGGGGTGAGCTGAGTGATAGAGTACTTGCTTAACTTGCCGGTGGCACTGGGTTCACCTGAAGGTAAAAAGAGCTGGTATCATTGAGAGTAGAAAGGTGTGCCATGTCAGTCTTAGGTCTAATTTCAAACACGTTTTTCTGTGTGTAGAGCCACAATCTGTTTTCAGTCCTAGTTCTGTGCTGAGTCTTGGTCTCATGACATTCCTTCTGATAGTTGGAGATCACTATCACGACCCCTTAAAGTCTTGTCTTTTGGGTAAACAGCTCTAGGCCTCTAACTGATCTCTAGTGCACTTAAAATCCATCTGTTTTCTGTTTTGATAAGCAGTCACTAGCCATTGTCCTTTTTTAAAAAAATTTTATTATTTTTATTTTATGTGTATGCGGTATTGCCTGCATGTAGGTAAGTGCGCCCGTGTCGTGCAATGCCCACGGAGCTCAGAAGAGGCTGTTGGATCCCCTGGGACTGGAGTTACGGACAGTTGTTGGCCGCCATGTGGGTGCTGGGATTCAAACCCAGATCTTCTGCAAGAACAACTAGTATTCTCAACCGCTGAGCCATCTCTCCAGCCCTGTCATTGTCCTTTTTTTTTTTCTTTTTCCTGAGACAGGCCTCCCTTTCTTGCTCAGATTGACCTGGAACTTCAGATTTTCTGACTTTGTTCTAAAGCATTTTTTTTCTTCAGTGTACTTAACCACTGAGCCATCTCTCCAGACCTTTCTTTCTTTTTCTTTCTTTCCTTCCTTCCTTCCTTCCTTCCTTCCTTCCTTCCTTCCTTCCTTCCTTCCTTCCTTTATTTTATCTGTGTGCATGTATTGCCTGCATGTAGATAAGTGCACCCATGTTGTGCAATGCCCAGGTGGAGGAGGACAGAAGAGACTGTTGGATCCCTTAGAACTGGAGTTACAGACAGTTGTTAGTTGCCATGTTGGTGCTGGGATTTGAACCCGGGTCTTCTGCAAGAACAGTGTTCTTAACCACTGAGCCATCTCGCCAGCCCCCCCCCCCATTTCTTTCTTTAATGATAGCTCAGTCAGAAAAGGTGATGGGTTTGATCTGACTTGAATTACCTTAAGAACCCTGGTTGTCTCTGAGGAATCACTACATTTGAAAAAATGCTAGCCAGACTGGTGGTGCATGCCTTTAATCTCAGCACTTGGGGGCCAGAAGCAGGCGGATCTCTGAGTTCAAAGCCCATCTGGTCTACATAATGAGTTCCAGGTCAGCTGGGGCTACATGGAGACCCTGTCTCAAAAAGACCGAAAACAAGAAAGAAAAATGCTAATAGGGCGGGGTGAGGTAGCACACCCCTTTTGTCCCAGCACTCCAGAGGTAGAAGCAGGCAGATCTCTGAGATGGAGGCCTGCCTGGTCTGCAGAGTTTCAGGTCAGCTGGGCTGCAGGGAGACCCTGTCTCAAAAAAACCAAAAAATAAAAATATAAATAAATAAATAAATAAATGCTAATAGTCAGGAAGATGGCTTAATTAAGGGCTTGCTAAACAGGCACAAGACCCTGAGTTTGGATCCCTAGCACCCACATGGTACATGCCTATAATCTTAGTGCTGGAGAGGCTGGCACACAAGGATCTTTGGGACTTGTTGGATAGCTAGTTTAGCCGAATTGGTAAGCTCTGGGTTCAGTGAGAAACCCTGTCTCAAAAAATAAGGTGAAAGGGGCAATATCTGTTCTTGCAGAAGACCAGAACTCTGTTCCCAGTACCCATGTTGGGCAGCTCACAAATGCCTGCAATTCCAGTTTCAAGGGATCCCACACCCCCTTCTGACCTCCACAGACAACTGCACTCCTGTGTACACACAAACACATACATACACATAAATAAGAAGTAAATCTAAAAAAAATAAGGCCTACAGGGATAGAGGTAGATATCTGACCTCCACAGCACCTGCACACACATGAACATACACCCTCCCACACACACACAGAGTTTTCTTTGGTTTTTTTTGTGGTTTTCTTTTGGTCTTTTTAGAGACAGGGTCTCCCTTTAGCCCCAGCTGGCCTAGAACTCTATGTCAATCAGGCTGGCCTTGAACTCACAGATATCCACCTGCTTCTGTCTCCCAAGTACTAGGACTAAAGGTGTGTGCCACCACGTCCTACCAAATGTAGTTTTATATTCACACACTCATAAAATTTTTTAAGGTGAATGTGGTGGCACATACCTGTATTCTCAGCATTCTGTAGTCTGAGGCAAGAGAATCATGAGTTCAAGGCCAGCCTGGGTACAGAATGAGACACTCTCACAAGAAGACAAATAGGCTCAATTGCCTAGTATGTATGAGGCCCTGGGTTTGATCCCCACATAAACTAGGCATAGTGACATATGCCTGTTTTCCCAGCACTGGGAAGGTGGAGACAGGAAGATCAAATTTCAAGATCATTCTCATAGAGAGTTCGAGTCCAACCTGAGCTGTAGACCCTTTCTCAACAACAGCAATAAAAGTAATTGAAAGTAATACATATTTTAAGTTAAAAAATATATATATACATATATATGTGTATATATATATATATATATCCATTCAAGAATTCTGACTGGAATTGACATCTCTTTTGTAGTTGTGATATTTGCCATGCTTTGGTATTTTAATACTACTCTCTTTCCAGAGCTTCTCTCAGGTTACTTTTAATTGTAGGATAACTTTATAAGTTATTTGATCCAGCACTTGAATTTATATAGTCCCCAAGGTTGTTCTCTTGTGTGTGTGTGTGGGGGGGGTATATTTGAATTGATTTGAGTCTTTAATACACTTGA